GTGAACCGCAGCAGCCGGGTGCAGTGCGTGGTGGAGCAGGCGGCCAGCTCAGTCTACATGGACTCCCGCAGTGTGACGCTGAGGGGGACTCTGGCTCCAGGTCGCTACGTGGTGCTGCCCACCACCTTCCTGCCGGGCGCCACAGGACGCTTCCTCTTGCGCCTCTTCTCCCATTCCCACGTCCGACTCAAGTGTGTGACAGAGTGTGTTTGATAGTGGCAGAAAACTTGCTTCTTTTGTTCATAAAATCTTTATAGATATTGGGTCAACATAATGTGAGATCAGTGATGCTGCGTCTGGAGTTAATGCGTCTAACTACCCAACCTTTAATTTATTTATTCTGCGACATATCTGTTTTTTTTACTGTGAGAAATAGAAATTTCTTTATTAGCTTTGGAAGGATTTTATCCCAAATGTTTGAAGCAACAAATGTAAAATGTTCTTAACTTAAATTCAAGTCAAATCACGTCTTATATCAATTTGCATAGGTACAGTACACATTGCAAGAGGGCATAATGTAGATTTACAGTAGTTTATATATGATTGTATTTATAATTATATTATTCGGAATTTCCCCATTGTTTATAGGTGGTAGGGATAGGAAGGAGGTGTAGATGTCGTGTGATGGTGTACGTATGCTGGGTCTTAGGTGAAGTGGTCTTTGGCTTGGTCATGTGTGACAGGTTATTTTTACTTTACTTGTTGAATTCAAAATCGGAATATGGGAGATGGGGATGGAAGGTTAGGGAAGTAGAGCCATGGATATATTTAAAAAGAAAACAGACAAAAATGGAACAATACACAAATATAATAATAATAATAATAATAATAATAATAATAATAATAATAATAGTAATAATAATAATAATAATAGTAATAATAATGAAAAATAAAACAAGAATCTGCACATACAGAAATGAAAATATATACAGCTGTATATTTGTATGAAAATATTGTATCTGTTCCTCTTCAACCTTCATTACAATCTTCTTGATATATTTTTGTTTTATCTTTATTTTTTTTGTGTAGAGAATTGAGGGAGGACTTGCCGTCTCCCGCTCTGTTCCAGTGTTTTCTACCTCAACCCACCGTGGTGACCACAGTCCACCTCCGTAGGGCGTCAGGACTCAGCCTTCCCAAACAGACAGGTGGCTTATAGCTCAACATCTCCTCTGGTGTGACTGATCGAAGAGGGCAGTAAAAAAACAAGAGAAACGCAACTGGACACAAACACTTGTTGCTTCTTTATCAATGACCCAGCGCAAAACATTTCTCTCTTAATGATGTTTGAAGTACTCAGATATTTTGCTTAAATAACAGTATCAATACTACGGTGGTAAAAAGTATTTTATATAGTAATAGTACTTGTTCTGTGAATAATATATTATAATTTACATTATTAGATTATTAATATTGGTTGAGCCCCTCCAAAGGGTCACAAGATTAGCCTGAGGGGTTTAAAAAGTATAAAACAGATAATAAAAATAATAATAAAATCAACCCATACGATAATCCTAAAAGCATTAAACAAGTGAGTAAAATAAAATCCAACACAGGAACATCAGATAAAAACACACCTGTAGGGAAATTAGCAACATAAAATAACCCAGTGGATAAAGTCCATCTGCCTGTTGCACATATTATATGACCCGAGTGAACCGTCTTTGTAGTAATGTGTCTTGTTTGGGATTCAAACAAAAATGAAACCATCAGAATAGTTTAAAGAAAAAAAGTCTCATCAACAACTCAAAACATCTGAAGCCAAACGAGACTAGCTGCTGGTTTAATCTTTAATAAATTCTATTTTATAAGTTGATTTAAGTTATAAATTAATGGTGAGAGTGAATATTTTGTATGTCTGTATCTGTTTTCTTTTTTACTTGAATAATGTTTCCTCTGATTTATTATATAACTCTATAAAATGCAACAGCTATGGCTTTAAATGTATTGCAGTAAAAAGTACAATATTTCCTCCTGAAAGTACTTTAAAATTGTATGTAAGTACAGTACTTGAGTAAAAGTCGCTGCTTGTTCTCTTGTTTCTTCACCTTGTTGTGTGTTTTGATCCACAGCTCCAGATGTTTACGCCGTCCTGCGCTGTGAGAACGACACCGTAAGGACGCGTGTTTTCAAGGAGGACGCGAACCCTGAGTTCAACCTCAGAACCATCTTCTACAGGAGATACCCCAACACACACATCTCTATTGAGGTTTGACACATTCACACACCCTGCTCACACACACACACACACACACACACACACAATATGCACACACAATCAGTCCTTGTCTGTGTCTCGCTGTGTGCAGTTGTGGAGCAGAGGTCTGCTGTGGGACTCGGTGCTCGGCGGGGCTCGACTCCAGACCGCAGAGTCCGAGAGGAGTCGGAGCCACGTGATTGACCTACGAGGCGCCCAGTCGCGTTCAGGATGCCGTCAGTGCGTCTACGTTGACACATCCTCCAGCGTCTGCCTCACAGACTTGTGACAGCATCATCTGGTTGCCCTGGCAACTACACAAAGCCATGGCAACCATCCATCCTCTGAGGTGGACGATGATTGACAAACAGTTTGGACTAAATAGACTTTATGTGTTGGACAGTTTTAACAAATACAAAAAACAAAGGTGCTGTAGTTGCTATATTGTCTCAGCACAGTGACAATTAATAAAGTTTCTGTTAGTTAAAAGATTTTCGGGTGATCTGCTGGTCAGATATGTAGGAGAGGCGTCCTTTGTGGCTTCAGCAGTCTATTAAAAACAACCAACAACCTGAAACTGCTGCCAAAATAAGTTGTTTGTGTGTTATTATATTTATTTAATATATTATTGTTATTGTTGTCTTTGAGTGTTTTCTTTCTGTCTTTAAAATCGTCACCATTTTTACTGTTATTTATGGTTAATATGTTATTTGCATTGTGTTTTCTTACGATTAAATAATCAACATTGGGTGTGTTCATTTTTATTATAGCTATGTCACAACTGATCAAAGTCCAGTATCAGTATCAGTATCCAGGAGGGTTTTAGTCATTGAAAGAAGAGTTATATTTTCACATTCTGTCGACTGAAGGAACTTTCACTTTAGCATTCAGAGACTCAACAGGTTTACATTCCTGCACGTCTCTTCGTTCAGTTTTGCTGATTTCAGATGGCCTCGTATCTTTAAGAGATTACACAAGACTAAAATCATTAGTGAGAACAGAGCAGCACTATTGACGTGTACACTGGTGAGAGTGAATGAATGTAGATGGATATTGTGTCAGTTCGACCTTTAAAACCACATTTACAAACAGAAAAAGATGATTTAAACAAGAACATTAACATTTATATTCAAATACAGAGTCTGGACTGCAACATTACTGCAGCTGACACCACTCAGGGAATGCTGTGTGGAGGAGTTGAGACCATATCTTCCCACACCTTCCCAATGCAAACACAGGCTGAAGATAAAAAGAAAAGGCTCATTCAACCTTTATCTGTTCTCTTCTGGCAGCATTTGTTTATCAGGAGCCTGTTAGACCTGAGTGGAGGATGTCGAACTACCATTACCTGCGTTTGAAGTGTGGGTTCCTTTATGTGAAATGTTTTTGTGCATCCATCTGTTCTACCTGTATTTCATGACATATTAATGACTTTTATAGCTCATATTTACCTATTAGACTCTTCCTGTTTTTATCTGCAGACTGACCCTGATCCTGGGCCTGTCTAGGTTCAAATGTGGGCGCCCAACAGATACAGACAGACTTTATTTAATGTCTTTATTTACACTTAATTGAGATATTTTGTTTTCCCGTCATTCAAACAACAAAATTGGCTTTACAAGGTGCAGCACTGCTAGATTATTTCATTCTAACACTGTTTAAAGTTAGAGATAAGATGTTGCATCTAAATGAAAGATCTAAGTGAGATTTAATGAGTGTGAAAACTCAAGTTTAGATGAATTTAATATCATTTCTTCTCTTTAGGCTGTATCTGTTGGTAGTTTCCAACCTTTTTAGCTTGTGACCTCTTAAAATGAAGTCTTCTTGTGACACCTCATCACAGTTCTGTCAAACAGAAAAAAATGACCTCTTGTGGGGTCACAAGGTTGGTTTCTCTGCTGTAAACCACATTTCCACGTTGATGTCCTTTTGGGTTTTATCATGAAATAAAGTGAAGAAATAAACATTTTTAGAGCAATAATGTGCACCAGTGTGGGAATGTAACAGAGTATATTTACTAAATTTTTACAGTTTACTGCTGCTTTAAATCCCTCTACAAATGTACTTTTATTAAACTGTTTTTATTTTATAATTTAAGTTACTTTGCAGGTTCAGATTATTAATGCAAAACATAATCAACAAGTTTAATTATGGTGTGTTATTACCGATAAAGTTACAACTTTATTCAAACTTCATGTAACAAGTGGCGCCGAGATAAGGCGATTGTAATAAAAGAAAAAGGTTCGTGAATCCCTTAAAGTATTTCTAAAGTATTTTATTTTTGTCTGCTTTGGCTTCAGAATGCAACATTTAACACAGTCCGTCAATTAATCCCGTCGTAGTGGTACAAAAGACAGAGAACATTAGTTCCGGGGCACAAACGCGAACATATAAACAATGCACTACTGTAATATTTATTTATTTATTGCATAATATCCTGGAATCAGCTATGAATTATGCATTATGAGCATTTATGCAGCAGCTCTCACATTATCGATCCCTTTGGTTAAACTCACAATCTACCTGCCAGTATATATAGTGGGAAACAATATAATACCTTTACTTTACCAATAAAGTACTGCACATCTCTATAACTATAATGTAAAGTATCTAGTTATTCTAAAATGGGTCATTATGCATAGTGAAAACTTTTAATTTTAACTTATCTTTGGTTCTTTACTTGTACTTTTACTTGAATAAAACTATAAATAGAGGACTTTAAGAGTATTTCCACTCTATAGGTGTAATTAGTTTGACCACATTCATCATTACTTTTCCAATTAGCTGACCCTCACTGGGCATGCGCGCTCCCGTGGAGGTTTTCCCAAAGGCAGTCAGCAGCTCTGAGTCACAGCCGCAGATAAACAGAGAGCAACCGGAGGTAAGCGTTGGAGAAAACAAACCGAAACACGTTTATTTACGCATTAATATTCCCACTTTGACGTTAACCGGAGAGTTTGTGCGGTTGTGAGTGAGGAGCAGGGCCGCTGGCAGACACCAGGAGTTTGATTTTATGTGTGTTTGTTCCCGGCGGGGCGGGGTGGAGATCTGTCAGCAAAACTAAAAGTAACTTTAAAGAGAAAAAGGGCGAGGTCGCTTTCTAATGTTCTGGATTGACAGCATTTATTTAACATGAGTCAGATTTAGCCAGTGTTTGCCAAAGTTTGATTCAGGAGTGTTTGCTTTTTAAACTTTACTTACAATTTTTATTCACCTGTTGTTGTTTTTTTTATTATTATTAAAATGTTTATGTATTTAACTTGTTATCATTAAGAATGGGACCAAACTAATTCATGTTTCAGCTTCACATATTTCCTCTAATTCTTCTCCTAAATGTCCCTAATTCCTCTCTGTGTCTGTGGGTTATAGTGACAGGCAGTCTCTTGCTGTTCCTGTATTATTGGTCAAACTGGATAGGGAATGCAGTCAAACCTCTGTCAGAGAATAACCTTACATTAAAGTACTGTAGTGTGTGTGTACATTAACTGTGTCCTAAATCCACACTGTATGTTTCTATGAACTCTGTAATCATATTTTCAGTCTGTGCTGGACTCATAATTAGCAATTGGATTAAAACCAAACTGAATTTAAAGCTGGTGATTAAATCACTCTTAATGAGCGACTACGTGTGTGTACAAGGTGTCATTCCTCACTCAAACCTCACTATACCTTCAACTTATGTTTAACACAAATAACATTTTCTGTGAGTAATTTCCCTAAAAGCTTAAAGGGAAACTCCACTGATCAAGTTCATCTGACCGGTCATGAGGAGTACTACTCTGTCTATGAAAGCAGTTGTGTAACGTCTCGTGGTTCCCAGGGAAACAGACAAAAGACACAAAAATGTGAAAATAGACCAATTTGGAGTAGACGTCATAGTTACGTCACTGCAGTTGCGTGCGCATCCGCCCACAAAATATGTAATTACTTGTTTGTTTACAAACAAAAACAAGGTCTATGTAACTCTGATGATGTCGTAGTGATGTAATTAGTGTTATCTTGGCTTAAAATTTAGCGAAAAGCCTTCGTTATCTACCAGAGGGGAGAAGTTTAAAAGAAGTGGGCATTCAAGAGACATCGGGGGTGTACTGAAAGATGCTCTCCAGTTGCATTGTGGGAAATGTAGACAACTTAATATTGCTAACAAATGGGTGGAAGTTAGTTAAAAGAGTCACAGTTTCCCAGAGAGTGTGTGACAAAGAAAAACATACTCAGCTTTAATTTGGATAGAAAGATCATCTGAACACCGTCGTCACTGTAGATAATGTAAATGAGAGATATTCTTGCTGTTTACATTCTTAAAACTGTTGTTTGGACTCTTCTTCTCGTCGTCTGGCTGTTTAAGATCTCTTTACATGCTGATTTTCCTGTTAGTCGACTCTGTCTCAGTCCTTTATCTTCCTCTGTAGGTCGGAGTCCCCATTCCCAATTATGTCAAACACTGGACTTATTCAGCGCATCCGCGACCGTCCCCAACCTCCAACACCGATACTAGGTGAGATCAGCTGACAGAATCCTCCCAGTCATAGTTTGATGTATCTCAGATTAACGACAGAAAAGAGGCTTTAAGTGTCTGTGCTTTAATCTAATGGTATTCTTTCTTCTTGCAGCATGCTCAAAGTTGTTTTTCTGTGTCATGCCCATTGCTCAGATTGCACTTGGTGAGTGAACAACGACATTTACAGACATTAAATACACATTTGAATTAAATTTCCTGCAGCAGTAAAACAGCAGCTTCACTAAATAATTGTTGTAATTATGAAAAGTCAGAATCTCTCTCACTTGTTGCCCCCCCCTCTGTATGTCTCCAACAGGTGCAGTACATCTGGATGACTGTCCGCGGCAGCGCTACATCCCCATCTATTTGATAGTGGGGGGAGTCTTTGGCCTGGTGCTGGCGCTCCTCTCCTGCCTGCCGTGCGCCCAAGAGCCCAAAGACGGCACCACCAACCCACTCAGTCGAGTCTGCGCCACCTGGAACTCGCTGACGTCTTGCTTCCTCTTCTGCTGGTTTATCACCGGTGAGTTAAAGTGAGGCCAAAAAGTGACATTTAGCCTATTTGACCAAGGGAAGTACTTTCTGTTTGTTTTCTGGTCGGTAGTTGTTTGTATAAGTTAAGAGTATTGGGAAAGCTCAAACAGACCACACCATTTAGATTAAATATTAACAGCTCTCATTGATGCCGTACAGTTCACCAGCACCACAGAGCGCAGCCTCCATTAGTTTTCGGTTAGGTTAACCCGATTAACTGGCAACAGAGTGCATTAAACTGCAGGTAACCATAGCATCACAACTTAACGTTATCTTAACTTTAAAAACTGTAGTGATTTTCAGCCTGTTTCTTTTTCTTTGATAAGTGGCTGAGGGGTAAGTGTAATTCTCTAAAACAAGTCATCCTCATTTTGTCCATTATTTAGTTGTAGCTGTTTATTTATATTTATATTATTTCTTACATACCCTCCTCGCATCTGGAGGTACCCTGGGCGACATCTCACCAGTTGGAGAATCAACACACTGTAGTAACATGTATGAACCACTAGATGTCCATCTCTGTCTGCTAGAGATTCACCTCCCTGATTTTAAACTGACACAGCTGAACACAAACAACATTAATGAATTCTCAAATGCTGCTGAAACCTTCATCATTATTTAGTGAGGAAACACATGTTCAGCCTTTTAGCCTTCAGTCTCTAAACCAGTAGTTCTCAACCTTTTTTGGTGTCAAGGACCCCCAAATTGATACACATCAAGGTCCAAATGATAAGATGAAGAACCTTGAGGACCCCTGTCTGATAAGATAGAAAGGTAGATTGGCAGGTAACAGTGGAAGAGTGTTGACACCTTTCTACAAATAGCCATTATTATTTGTAACTAATTAAAATATCCCAATTTTTCTGGGGACCCCCTAAAAACCTCCTCAAGGACCCCAGATTTAGAACCAATAGTTCAGTGTACATTTCATAGATATTTTAGGCTTAATTTCGCTTTGAATTTTGGGATTTGGGACTTGGGCGCCATCTCTCTCTCTTCCTCCATTTCCTGTCATCTCTACATAAACGACTCAAAACATCGCAGCTAAAATTAAATCATTGGGAAGTAGTGAGCTGTCATCTTCCGTTCAACAACTGTTCAAAAACATAGATGTCTCCTGGAGGTAGAAATTATACAGTTAAGGGACAAGTCCACAGGATCAGTCATTTCCATTTATTCTCTATGTGAGCAGCTGTGAATGTTTTTAGCTTAAAAAATAATATAAACAAATGAAAAAACTTAAAATGTTTTTACAAACACATTTTGGTGAACTGTCGCAATATGAGAGAAACTTTCCAAAACGAGCCGCCATGTTGGTCCTTTTTGAAATCCTGGAGCAGAAAGAGTTTAGGTTATAAGAGGGTGTAGTCTTTTTGGACTACAAGTGTCCAGGTATAAAGAGGTATAAAGATCTGTACTTGTCTCTTACCTTGGGGTTTCCTTTAATGTCCAGGTAACGTGTGGATCTACTCTATTTACGAGCCCAACTACAACAAGAACACAACAGATGTGGATCCCTACTGC